TACGTCTCAATTATTAAAGTTCTACTGTATAAGATAATGGGGAGCGAGTTGGTCTAGTGGTAGAATGCAGGGCTTTGGTGCCTTGTTGTGAGGTTCCGTGTTCAAATCCCACCAATCACCAATGGGTTTTATCCATGTGATAATGCCGCGACCCTCTAGGACGCCATTCTGTCGGCGTATTCGTTTGACGCCATTCTGCATTTAAATTTGTATATTGTAAATTTTGAATAAAATGTTTCTGAATCTGAATCGGACTACTTACTTACTTACTACTTTATACTGTTCTTTGAAATGGCGACCATAAAAAGTAGGTATTTTAAGCCAAGTATGAATGGAGATGAGTGGCGCGATCTTGTAGTCTTGTTAGTGACTAAGGCCGACATATTCCTTAGACACAGCTGTTAATTAATAGCCCATACAGCTAATGGCGACTAAGGGACCTACAGTTCATAGTGGAATGCGAACCACATTTTTCCTTGGTATATACGAATTGGTAACCTGAAGTAAAGTGTAAAGTTCTGGGTTAGAACCTAAAGTTCTAGGATATAAAAGTGGGACATAAAAAAACCCAAATATAAATAAGGTGTATTTAAGATTGGTTAAATTGGCCACATTGTACTTTTTTACTGACTGAATTATTTACGGGTAAACTGATCTGGTTTTGTGTGTGTGTTGGAGTGTCACAAGGCTTTGCCTAGAGATAAGAGGACACGAGACTGATAACATTGGCTCTACACAGTTCTGAACTATGTCAACATATTCTGCGAATCTCTGGGGTTCAAATCTGCAGTTCATTGTTTCCCCACAAGTTTTTTTATGTTATTCCTAAACCAAAATATTATAAATTTAGCCTTCCAAACTATTAACAGATTGCTTTATTTTTCATACAGAAGCAGCAAAATAAAATAGCTACGCTATGAAGCAAACCTGCAGACTAAGTGAATTTCAATTTATCTGATAGGATTTTTGCTCAATATATCCATAAACAAGACATATTTTTCCTCATTTAAATAACGTTAGACTTGACAAGTACCTAGGTTTGCTGCTGCTTAACATGGAAGATAAAAAGTGGGTTTTAAAATTAAATTTTAATAGTATAGGGTTAAATAAATGAATTTGATCAACATACATCCATAAGTAAGCAAACTACAAAAGTTATCTTTTTCTCTATAAGAAAAAAGATCAAAAACAAACAAGAATCTTAAATTTATATTTTTGGAGAATTTTCTCTGTGTTGTTTGATGTTTACGACGCTTTAATATACAAAATTATTTGTTCTTTTAAGCTCTATAAGATGGCTTTAATAAAAACTGAACAATTTCAAGTTTTAAGGGTAAAAGTTTAAAAAAATTTAGAAAATTTTATATTCGTCATAATACTCTCTTCCCATAACCTGATCTTGCTGGTTTCGCAAACCCAAGTTTATCCAGCCCTAAACCTTCAAGCCAAATTTCATCAAAATCTATTTGTGTTCTATTGTGTATTCATTGGTGTTCACTAATTGTGTCTATTGTGTACTATTGTGTCTGACTATTACTTTTCAGGGTTTACTTGTCAAATATTCAACATTTCTTTAAAGATTGTTTACTCAATATGTATAAATAGCCTACTAACGTAAAATGTATATGTAAAAATTAGTCTGTTAAATATTCATTCATTAAAACCCATTAAAAAATAAATGTTTTGGATAACTCGACAACCTCCAAACTCAAGACCCTGTGGGTCCATAAATTGTCTGGTTAGTGAGGTTTTTTACTGTAGCCTATTAATAACTTTTCACTCCGATTAAATGACGAAGTAATTAAGCTTGAATTAAATGAGAAAGGGTAACAAGTAGAATTATGACTCGGGGTGGTTTGAGGTCAGTCATGTCTAAAAATAAACTGACATTTTATTGGACGCTTGAATGACTTAGCTTCATCGACAGCTTATTTGCATAAACTAATGGGAAATATCACGTGAAAACTGCTCAAACCAATATAGAACTCGGCGCTTCCACGGCCAATAACATTGCCTTAGTGTATTTTCAAGAATATTGAATTATGTTTAACCTTAGAAGGTCAGGATTATTTATACATTCAACTAGGCCCTATGCCTCTTCTTATGTTTTAACTTTTTTATCAACAAAAAAATTATTTCATTTGAAGGTTTTGGTGGAAATGCAGAGTATGATACCGGTATTTATAAGAAAAATGCCTGAACAGGCCCCAAAATTTCCAACTATTCCAACAATTTCCAATAGAGACAGGTCCAAGAGGTGGATTTTAAGAGGGAGAGAGGCATTGACTACTTTCTTTTCTTTAATACTTTGATATTTTCACTTTGATATTTCCTTCTACATGTAAGATTTATTCAGATTAGTTTGATAAAATTTAAAAATATATTCATTAACAGGCAAACTACATAAGTTTACTTATTTTTAATAAAAATAACATAAGAATTTTAAATTTGCATTTTTTTAGTTTTTACCGTTACCGATAGGCCTAACTGTACAAAAACACTTCAAAATAGGCTACTAAATTACAGTACGGTCTACGAAAGTCTGCAGTTGAGGGAGGAGCCTATTTACCTCAAAGGACCAAAGGACCAAAGGACTTCAAAGGAGCCAATGAGGACAGTGCAGTGTTTTGCAAAATCTAATAACACCAGCTGATTTGAAAATACTGTTTAGTATATTTTAATTAATGTCAAAAAGTAGTGAACAGGTGATGTTGCAACGTCGCACTAGTCCAGTCTTGCTATTGGCTGCCGCCAACTGCAGACCCTCGTGACCCCTAGTATCGGCTAACATGGTTTATGAGATAAATTGATAAACTTTATGTTTTTAAGTGTCTATAGCCTAAACAAAAAAAGTTAACCATCACCCAATAAAACCCTCTTCTCATGATCTGACTATGCTGGTTTCTGAACTTTTACAAATAAACGTAGGTTTACACGTTTGTACCAAATTTAATTAAAATTTGATGATTTTGTCTTGAGTTGAGTTATTATGCTAACAGACAAATATTCAACATTTATTTCTAAAATTCACCGTTTGACTAATTATTTGTTGGTTGTAATAAAATATATTTTATTTTGACATTATGGACAAGCAAACAGTTTTACACAACAACAAAATTTTATCGCACTGTGGATTCGATACTCCCTGGTGTGGATTAACGTCCGTACTAGTGAGTACTACGAAAATCTGCAGTAATATCTGGATAATTAGACCAATTCCTTCATACCGAGGCAAAAAAGTGGTTCGGATTCCACTATAAACTGTAGGTCCCTTAGTTGCCATGGGCAATATGTAATATAATTAATTATATGATCTTATCTTACTAATATTATAAATCTGAAAGTTTGTGAGTTTGTGCGTGTGTTTCTCAATCACGCATAAACTACTGGACGGATTGGGCTGAAATTTGGCATGATGATAGCTCACATTCCTGATTAACATTAAAGCATATTCTTATCTCAAAAATCCTTCCGGGCTCCGCCTCAGTGGCTCTGTAGTTCCCCATGTTAACCTAATGATTTTTCATATTTGAAAGGAATTAATGAATCTTAACAGCTGTTTCAATTAAACAAGTTGGTTCTGTTCTATGATGTTCAATAGCATAAAAGTTACAAGGATTACCAACAGGGTGCAGTAGGGCCTACTATTTTTTTTTTTTTTTATATTTATGACAACAGCTAATTTCCAACCAAAAGGTGAGTGAGCGTAGCGAACAAACTTCAACCTGGAGGCGAGTTAGCGTAGCGAACGAGCTAACCTGAAGGCAAGTGAGCGCAGCGAACTAGCTCCAACCTAAAGGTGAATGAGCGTAGCGAACGAACTTCAACCAGAACGTGAATGAGCCATGCGAATACTTATGAAGTTAAACGGGGCAAAGCCCGCGGGTACAGCTATTATTATTATATAATTATATTATATTAAACTATATTAATTAACAGCTGGTCAGGAATACAATGTTTGTTTTTTTGGGGGGGGGGGGGGGTTAAAAGCTTGAGGTTATTGTTTTACAAGTTCAGCCGTTATTTGCACAGCAGATTTAAAAATCAGCTTCACAAGCTAGAGACGCCACACAGTTAGTAAATTACAGATATAAACTTTGGTTTTAAAAATTGACTTCACAAGTCCAAAGATTTAAAATACCGTTACCGTATCACCTACATGGAAACCTCAGCATAAACTCACATAGCCTAGGCTTAGGCTATTTAGGGGTAATTCTATTAGATCTACCTACAACTAAACTTAACTAACAACCAATTTTTTGAGATCAAATAAATTGTACATTTGTAACAACCCATAAAGTGCTGCATGTTGGCATCAACAATAGTTGGCGTCAGTCCATAGTGAGTTCAGATTAGGGCCTATCCAGTGCTTGGCAAAAATCCTCAACTTGAAACGTCACCCACAATTGACACCGGTCTATGGGGGAAGGAATCTTTTTTTATATGTCACTAATGTAGCGAACGTGTTAAACTACAGAAGTTAAAGTATTCTGATGGCAAAACTTTTTTACTGCAAAAGTTAGGCCTACTAAGTTATAACAAATCACCGAATTTGCCCTAGGCTTGCCAGTTGGACGGTTAAGTTATACAAGAGGTCCAGAAGCAATTTAGCAAAATGGTTCATTTTAAATTTGTTAGGCCTCTGCATAATCCTAAACCTAGCCTAATTAGACTATTATTGTCACCATTTGGCAACATTGCTGATAGGTTTCTAAGTTACCATCCTTTAAACTTTTCTCAACTTATCTTAATGCCGCCAGAAGTAAAAATAAATAATTAGCCTATTGGATAAAAAAAAAACTGTGTAGGGCTATGTGCTAGGCTACAATGTTATTTTAAGTATAGACTGGGCCTGAGCCTATATCGTCTTATCTTAACAGGCAAGGCCTACTAACTCTTGTAGCTGTATACCTTACTGAAATTAAAAATTGTAGCCTATGACACATTAAACATAAATATTTAAAAATAATTAAGTAAAGCAACAAAAAGAAAGTACTTACTCATCATCATCTTCTGAAGAGAAATTTATTTCTATTCCTAACCTTTTCTTCCAGTCTTCGTCAGCCATTAAAATTGTATAAAACTACAGCAATATTATTTTTTGTCAAATAATTATATTTCATACAACTATTTAAGTGTAGGAAATTTAACTATATGGTTATTCAAAATACCGACAACTACCCTCAGTTCATAACAAATCCCTCCCCTGAGAATCTGATATTGATAACAGCACAACAACAACAACACCGAACGAACACCGCTGCTTGCTGCTGGCTGACAGGACTAAGGAAGGACTTACTTGGACTAACAAAACAGAACAGGTGGAGGTGAAGTGGAACTAACCAAGAACTAACGGAACGAAATTAGGAATGAGGTGACACTGGTGACAGAGCGGAGCGACAGAGGGAACCTTTGGAGTTGGGTTGTTGGTTGTTAAACCAAACCATTAACAACACATGCGCCATCAGTGTTTCCTATACTGATTGTCAGTGTCAGTATGTGAGCGCAACAGGTATACTCATATAAACATATGAGTATGTCCTGCAAAATACTCATACTGAACAGCAAAAAGACCTTAGCATGCATATAGCCAACGATCGAGCTCAAGACCAACGTCGATAAACCGACGCAACTTCTAACGACGTTGCTATAATATCCTAATTTATTATTCGTGCGAATTCGCACGGGTTCACCTAGTTCATTATAATATGTGATGTTTATAAGCCAATCATCAGTCTTAAGAGACGACTTTCGGCTTTTCAAATAATTGATAAGTGTATAATTGACAATAATTGTTAATCGGTGGGTAGCTCTTAGTGAGGTAGTCTTGTGTGAGCAACCGAATAATCACTGCGAGATTCAACAGATACAAACGTGACTTTGTCAAGTACCATCACTTTAATTTGAAATCATGTGCATTATTTTAAATGCAATGGGTATTATTATCTTTCAAGCAAAGGCCAATTTTGTTTATAATTTGTATACTTTTTTAATTAAATAAATAAACAACCGTGAATAGAGTATTCAGTGACATCTAGTGGAGAGAAGCGAACTGTGTTGCTTGCCTCAATGGTGGTGACACCTAGCGGAGACTAGGAGAACTGTTTCACTGTTTGCCTAGATGGTAGCGATATCTAGTGGTGATTGTCCGAACTATCAACAATACTTTACCGTACACTACTCGAAATCCCTTGAACTTGAAACAGGCTTCAAATTTTTATAGAAGGATGATAAATTAACTCACAATATCCAAAGTCAATATTCATACCGTACCACCACCTTCAAAATCTTAATATTATAAATGTGAAAGTTTGTGTGTTTGTTCGTTTGTTTGAAGTTCAATCATGGATTGGGCTGAAATTTTGCATGATGATAGCTCACATTCCCGATTAACATATAAAAATCCTTTCGGGTTCCGCCCCATTGGCTCTGTAGTTCCCCATGTTAACCTTATGAGTATTCATATTTAAAAGGAATTTAAGAATTTAGTCAGCTGTTTCTACTAAAAAAGTTGGGTCTATGAAATGCAAAAAACATTAAAAAGTTATAAGATTTACCAACAGGGTGCAGCACTATCATTTTTTTGCATATACGAAAACAGCTAATCTATCTATATATTAATAGGCAAGCATGTTTCTTTAAAACCTTTTTTCTCAGCTCGTGTGCATCGTAGGGAAAATCTACGCATACCGTTGGAAAGCTATTTTCCTGTAGGTGTGCAGAATCCCTTTATAAATTTAAATAGGCTCAAAGATAAGCACAAAAAATAAGTTTAAAAGTTGTAAAAAATTAACATGGATCTTACGCGTTGCTATGCTGGTTACGAAATAACAACGAAATATAAACAGAAAATCAAAACAAATGGAGGAAACTCCAATCACATGTTTTATTTACAGTGTGGGGTGAAAATAGTTAAGTGAGTACATTACATATTTTTGGTCGAGTTTCGACCACTGGACGACCTCTCGTCTATATATTAATAGGCAAGCATGTTTCTTTAAAACCTTTTTTCTCAGCTCGTGTGCATCGTAGGGAAAATCTACGCATACCGTTGGAAAGCTATTTTCCTGTAGGTGTGCAGAATCCCTTTATAAATTTAAATAGGCTCAAAGATAAGCACAAAAAATAAGTTTAAAAGTTGTAAAAAATTAACATGGATCTTATGCGTTGCTATGCTGGTTACGAAATAACAACGAAATATAAACAGAAAATCAAAACAAATGGAGGAAACTCCAATCACATGTTTTATTTACAGTGTGGGGTGAAAATAGTTAAGTGAGTACATTACATATTTTTGGTCGAGTTTCGACCACTGGACGACCTCTCGTTTGAATTAAGCATTAAGCAGCAACAAAAAACTGCGATACTCAATGAGAACTAACTCTCAAAGCAGGATTGTTTACAGTTATGTTTATGTTTTTAATTTCATGAATAGTTTGTGATATATTGTGAATTTTTGATAATTTATTTTTCTCTATTGTTTAGGAGAAGTGGTAGAACATTATGGCTATGGTAGATGTGTAATACTATATATAGTATACTGTAAATTTAAAAAATATAATTTGATCAAACTGTGATCCCCCACTGCAAACGCAAAGCTTGAGTAATACTGCAATAAGCATTTTATACTTATGCCAACCCCGTACGAAGGACGGGTACTCTGCTAGTACTTCATAAACTAATTTTCGACATTTTAACCGAGGAATTTAGAAATCTCATAAACTATTTTAACAAATTCTATTACGCATTACGAAAACAAATTACCAAAGGATTCAAAGAAAAATGCTGACCTTCAAAGTTTGAGTGAATATACAGGGTGAGTTTAATATAATAAGCCAGTGTTTTTTCCTCTTAGCCAGTCTGACACGTGGGACATTTAGTTTAAAAGAATATTATATCAACTTCTTTTTATTGTGTTGTGCCCTACTTTTTTCTACATTTCAACTCCCAAGCACGTCAGATCATTGTTGAGTAGGAGCGAGTAGTAGGTCTAGAAAGTACTTCGTTTTGACTTCGTATGAATATTTGGCCGCCATCTTGGGACACATCAAATTATTTTCAAGTGTAAAGGTGGGGTTGTGAGTGTTGTGACCCATCGTTTCAAACTAGATTTTTACGCTGAATACAATGCTGCAATCCGTTTTTTAAACATCTTACTTAATCAGTTAAAAGTTATAAGGATTTAAAAAAAATAATTTTTGTTAAAATTCCACTAAATAACAACTAAAAAAAATTGTATTTTTTTGATCTTTCTAACTTTATGCCCTCCCTAGGAGTCATGCCAACTGCTGCAAGACAAATTTTCCACTAGATCGCGCTAAACGTCTACAGAAATTAATTCGGGAACTTTTTGTCTGTTATAACTCGTATTATTGTGTTCACATATCACACTTACAGCTTTGCTGAATACATGGTTGGTATATTTGGTAAAGTCTTGAAGCCAGTCCACAGGCCCTAAACTTGTGATAAGGTTAATTTATTTGTTTATGATTCTTTTATATCAAGTTCCATTAAAAACTTGTTGTAATATAGCTATTTAGATATTTCAAGTTATGAAAACTAGCTATTACCCACGGGCTCCACCCCGTTTTACTACATTAATATTAATAAAACTATTGATTGGTTAAGTTAAGATGAAATAAACAAAACAGAATACAGTAATGGTAATACTAACAAATAATAACAGCTGAGGTATTTTTAACATTAGGTAAATGGAAAGTTCCCTTTGGAAAGCAATTACGACCTTATAGGGCAATTTATGAAATAATGGATAATTTTGCGCAAGGTTTCTCGTCATGACGAACATTTTAAGTACATGGTTTATGGGGGTGTGACTTGTAGTTTTCTAAAAAGTTCATGGGTACTTTTGGATTTATATATAGATGGGAAAGAATGGCTTGATAAAAAAAAATTTCTTCTTTCTTGCAGTTGAGGCAACTCCTAAGCTGTAAATAAGTTATGAACATGAAATGGGTACATAAATACATTCTTTTTTCATATTTTATTTTCAAGTAATATTATAAACACAGATAGGAGTTAAAAGAAAAAAAAATCCGGTAATTAATAATTTTTGGCACGACCTGACCCGACCCGAACAAAAAAAGTCTGACCTGCAGACCTCTAGTATATTGTATATGGTATGTACCATAGGACAGGTGAAAAGGGATTTAACAGAGACAACCCTTATTGTATATTAAGTAGGTATACAGGGTGAACACCATTGGTATCTCAGAAACTATCAGATTTTACAAAAAACATTAAATGGGGAGTTTCAATAAGTTTCTTGTAACATTAAAAATATGACTTCCACTTTTTCTAAAATGGTGACTGACTTTGAAATTTCTTAAAAAATGCCCTGTATTTAGGGTTTTTTTTTTAATTTAAGATGCTACTTACTTAATGACTAATTTATTCTTTCCATTTCCTTTCTAAACTTACTCGTTTAGGAGATACAGGATGCAGAATGTACAGAAAAAGCAGCTTTTTCCTAAATGTAAACACATCAAAAAGGGGATATAAGGAGTTTTAAAGTCGGCCGCCATTTTTGAAAAAGGGGAATTTATAATTTTTATTATCAAAGAAAATAGTTTAAGTTCCCCATTAATGTCTTCTCAATGTCTATTAGTTTCTGAGATACCATTGGTGGCACATTTAAGTTGTTCACCCTTATAATATATAAACAGATTATAACTGATAATGGCCACTTGTAAAATAAAACAAATTATTTGCAATGAGACCCATTGACTTATGTTAGATTTTACACCAGAGCTAATTACAGAGCCACCAACTTAACATTGGCATAACATTACGACACAAGAATATAAAATGTAGTTTTTTGTAGCTTTCTCTGAAACCATTAACTCTACAACAATGCTTCAATGGGTTCAATATACAAAATTATTTGTTTTCTAAGCTCTACACAATAGTTATAATGAAAACCGGGCATTTGATTTTGACAAGTTCAAGTAAAACTTTGGCATCAAATTTAAAAAAAATAAATCGGTCCTGAGACAAGGTATGGCACATAAGATATTAGCTTTTTCCCTTTAGGAGAAATTCACTTAAAACCAAAAAAGGAAATTAAAACACATCATTATATAAAAGATTAATATAATTTAGCTAATACTCAAAACTATAACTGATAAAAACATAATATATATATTAGTAAAGTAAGTTTTTTACAAAATTACAAGTACGCTGATCAGTACATTACAAAAATACGTTATAGCCAGCACTGAGATACGAAAGTGACACATTTTCAATGAAAACCCCATCACCAAACCACAGCAGCTTTGTACAATATAAAAAAAACATTTTTACACAAGTTAGGAATTACATTGGCCACATTAGTGACTGACAATATCAACGTTATTGCACGGAAATTAATACGGTGTCACTATATTCCAGCTGTTAACATTTGTATGAAAATCATTAGTGAAAGCAATAAACTAAGTACAAGCTCTCTTTAAGACTAGATCACTGCTGGCTTGGAATGTAGTTAGGTTAGTTAAGTTCCTCCGACTTTGCTGATAAGTTCGTCGCATATTGCAGTCAACTCTGCGTTCTCCTTTGTTTTTTGGTCGAGAGATTCTTCCAGAGACTTTATACGAACATCGGATTTCTTCAGCATAGCTTTCAATTTGGCTATTTCGACTTGATGACTTCGCTGAAGCGTATCCAACTCCTGATTTGCTCTGTAACAAAACGACAATGTAGAAAGAAAGGTCGTCAAACTTAATGTGATTTCTTTATTTAAATTAACTAATATTGATTTACATATAATATAAAGGATTTATATATATAAAGGAAATGGAAAGAATAAATTAGTCATTAAGTAAGTAGCATCTTAAATATAATTACATATAAAAATTATAAGAGACAAAGTGAAAAATATACACTTTTAAGGCTTACCCTGGCCTAATTCATCTGACTGTGAAAACTAGAGTTAAATTATCACAACTTCAACATTTAGCTTTGTATAATGAGTAATAAATAGGTTTTAGAAATAATAACAAATCTGGGAAGGGAACTTTTAAGACCTCTGGGGCAGAGCCCCAAGGGAATTTACCTTGTTTCTCTTTTGATGGCTCATCTACAGGCCAAAACCATTCTTTAAACCCCTACCAATTTTCTACGCCCAGCCATTCTCTCAAATTAGCTGTGAAAAAACCCTTCGGTGTTTTTCTTCCATAAGAATAAGATGGGAATGAAATTTTAAAGGCCACTGAGTCATGGCCCCAAGGGATTTTACCTCATTTCTCTTTTGATGGCTCATCTACAGACCAAGACCTTTCTTTAGACGCGCCCCAACCGAGTTTCTACACCCCATTGAGTTCTCTCAATTTAGTGGAGAAGAAGAAAAACAGTTTCAAATTAATATATAGATAATTACAAATGGTATTTTCGTACTTAAACTTTGTTACTGAGATATTTGACATGGAATAACAGATGCTAAAGCTTTCAACATGCCATTTGATCAGTTCAGTGACATCAGCAAAATCGTCAGTGGCCCAAAAAAACTACAAGGATTTTGATTTAAAAACTGGCGAAAACTTTAACTCAGAAACGGAACGTCTCAATCAATGGTCAAAGATTATTTGCAGTGTGCAAGGCATTGAAATTCCGATTCGATTCACGAGGGAGTCAGTAATCATATACGAAAAACGCCTGCAGAAAGTCTACGCAATACCCGCAATACAGGAGTGTGTTGTTGTTGTGTTTCCTTTGCGAAGGCATTCTTATTTAATTAATTCTTTGCTTGTAAATATAGCTTTAATTGTTTCATAATTTTTTGTTTTGACATTGCAAATGATGAAAAGTTTTCTTAAGTGTAAGCAGTGTAAGACATGTTTTACTACTGTAAACATAGCCAAAACAAATCACTCCAAAATCATTCTAAAAATAACACCAGTGTGAAAAATTGTTACTTGACACTTAGTAAGATTGATGTTTTAGGCTGATAAATTTGGTATTTTGTAGGTCTGCTATTTATACCTTGTAGTTTGTAGGTTTGATTCTATCCTCTCATTTTATCAATGTAAACCAATTATTGAAAGTTTCAGTATAAATCTTGCAAATGTTTTATTTGTTTACACCTAAACATATCTTTATTTGTAAAATCAATATTATAAAATAGGTAACATGCTTAAAAATATGATTCTACAAGTAAAAAATATGAAATTTGCAAGTAAAGCAGCTCACTGGCATTTCCAGCAATACAGGTTCTTCTAATATATGATTGAAAATAAATATATTTTTTCACCTAAAATTCATATATGTCATATGTATGAATAGGCCTAATACCACATAAAAAAATGCTTTATTAGCCTATTGTTATTTCACCCCATTGATAAGTATGAAAAAAATGCCGTATTGCTTCAAATCGAGTTGTATTGATTCAAATCGAAAATTGTTAGAATCGAATCGACAATTTGTTGCTGCTTCGCACACCCTTAAAGATTATACTTACTGTTCCAGCTGTTTGACAGCATGGCTTTTCAGGGTTTCATATTTGGCCGTACTGGACTTGACCGCTTCATCAAACTCAGCCAGACTTCTCTTCAGAATTTCCTCGTTAGCCTTCATCCCTTCAATGACCGTTTTGCTGCGTTCATATTTCCTAAAAGAAGGGAAAAACCATATAAGAATAACAAAACACATAAGTACTTATGTTATACTAGCTGTAACCCGCGGGCTTTGCCCCGTTTAACTTCTTAATTTTCAAGATTATCTCGTTCGCATGGCTCAATCACGTCCTGGTTGAAGTTTGTTCGCTAGGCTCACTCACCTTTAGGTTGGAGCTCGCTCGCTACGCTCACTCACCTTTAGGTTGGAACTCGTTCGCTGCGCTCACTTGCCTTCAGGTTAGCTCGTTCGCTACGCTAACTCGCCTCCAGGTTGAAGTTCGTTCGCTACGCTCACTCACCTTTTGGTTGCAAATTAGCTGTTGTCATAAATGTAAAAGAAATAATAGTGCTACACCCTGTTGGTAATCTTTGTAACTTTAATGCTATTGAACATCATAGAACCGAACCAACTTGTTTAATTGAAACAGCTGTTAAGATTCAATAATTCCATTTCTCATAAGGTTAACATGGGAAACTCCAGAGCCACTGGGGCGGAGCCCGAAAGGATTTTTGAAATGAGAATATGCCTATATGTTAATCGGGAATGTGAGCTATCATCATGCCAAATTTCAGCCCAATCCGACCAGTATTTTTCGCGTTCACTTGTCACAAACATACATCCATACATCCATACATCCAAACTTTCTCATTTATAATATTAGTAGGATAAACCTTAATAAACAAAAGTGTTTTGAATTTAATTTTTTAGACGGTCATGTTTAAAAAGAGCTAACTAAGCCTATCAAACTAAAATTTGTTTGTACTGAGACATAAAATTTAAAGTGAATCAAAAATGTGATTAGCATAACGTATTTTCATTAAGCCGAAATATTTAAGCAACATTGACTTTGAAATAGATTTCAATTACACTAAAATGTGTCTTAAGATTAACAGTAAAGATTACCTCTACAAAAATACAAAAAACTTAAATGTTGAGACTTACTGATGCACATCATTGAAAGCTATTTCCATGTTGTTCAAATGTTGCATCGCAGTATCTCTTTCCTTCATCAACATTTCTTTTTCTTCTTCAAACTTTTTTCTGTCTTCCTCCTTCTGAGCGACCAGTTGCGAAATTGTTTTTTCGTACTCTTCCATCACCAAACTGTAGAAAGTAAGATACAGAATATTTACAAGCTATTCAGTGAAAGAAGTAATTAATCTCTTAAATAATATTTTCGTACCAATTGATCCCAATCTACTTTTTATTATTAGACAATACTATTTGGTGACTTGAACATTAGATAGTCGGACATACAATATTTTTTGCCTTAAATTTAAGCTGGTTGCCTGCTCCCAAAATGTTTGCTCTCACTGATTTTGAATTATGAATTTAATTTAATTATTGCCTGCAGCAAGGTGAAAAACAAAAGACAGGTCTGGGGAACTAAATTTCAGTTAGGCCTGATTCATTCCGTGACTTTCGTGACCCTTCCGTGACCGGTGGACACCCTGCTTATTCATGTTTTTTTTTTTTGGTTTTCACTATTGAATGGGTAATTAATATTTATCAGGAATTTTACACATGCAATCAGACCTAAGCTGCTGTTTGCTCTTGTCCTTGTTGACGACTTCTTTCTTGAGCCGTTGTTCTCTCTCCTTGATGGCTTTCATCTCCGCCTCTAGCTCCACGACGCGGGCATGAGCTGCGACCAAGTCAGCGTCTTTCTGTTGCAAGTCCGCCTTGTGTTGAGTCGCAGCTGCCTGCATCGTAATACAAGTTAGTAGGGAGGTCATTTGATATTTTGGGCTCTGAGTGGTTACACTTAGCAAATACGATAAAACACACATATTAAAAGATATTGATGCATGTTGTTGAAACATCTGTAAAGCAGAAATGCTGTTGATGGTCAAGTACACTTGGAATATTTTGGGAAGCCTTTTTTAAAGCGACTTATAGACGAGGAAGGTATAGGCGGCAAGTCGGTAACTGCAATTCTAAGAGCAAACTTTGGTTATTACAGAGTCCACCACCACATTTTGCTTTACTACCTTAAACCACATCTACAAGCTATTTGCGTTAAGTACCAATGACACCAATTAATTTACACATAGCCATATAGTTAGTATATAAAATCCTCACTTGTAAACCTAAGGGAGGGTAAATTTATTTCAAATTTAAGTCAACTTGAACTATATATGTTAGAGGGAAACTAGTGTTAATTTATAACCTTCTCTAAGAAACTATATATACTAAAAAGAAATTCCTGATTGCGTTACGACACAGTATTCAATGCTATGCAACTCGTTCATGGTTGTTTGATAACAATTTAAGACAACTTATTGAAAGCTCGAATTTTACTTAGTACATTATTTAAAAGAGATGTACGGTAGTTGTTGTTTTGAAATATCAGTATTTTACTTTTACATTTTAGTAACGGATAATTAAATTAAGGGATCACGATAGTCGATAACTTAAAATGCTGAAAAATATTCGCTTATTGGAGTTTAAACTAGAGACAGGTTAAATCTACTGTTGCTAATCTAATATCAGATATAACATGCATTAAATACTACTGCATGCAAAATGAACATTCAGGCCCATAATTATATACATGTGTACATCTAACACAAAAGTGAGCAATACTTCTGAGATGTTCCTTACTTCCATTACTATTCTGGCTGGTTTCCTATAAAAATATTGGTCTCCAAATTTTTTTTTTAAATGTTGTAAAAGAAAATGATTGATACAGCCATTTAAAACTTTATTTTGAGATTACATTTCTCTTGTCTCAACTACTATTGCAGTCTATTGCCAGTTGACGGACGTGGATGGCGTCAAGTGTTTGGAGAAAATGTTTGCAAGGGATGGGGGAAGTTTGCAGCTGTTGTTATTCACAAGTCTCGTTTGAAGCTGTGACCAAAGTTAGGGGAATTTCTCATTCGGATAATTTTGTGACTGAGCGAGAGAGATAATTTAATTGGCTATGGGGGACTTTTCTATAAGACAATTCAAGTACTACAATCAACCCTTGAAGTCTTGAACAAGCCGATCCAGTAAAGAGTTCCAGATTGTTTTCCAAGGGAGTCCATGGAAGCTAAAGGTCATCTTGAATTTACCTGGCATAAGATAAATTTAATTTCGTTTCTAAGAATTATTTACCATCTCAAAATATGTTTTCAAGTGATTGTAATTTTAATATCTAGTGCACCATGTGATTAGACGTTTTCTTTGTAGTTTTTTAATTGTTGTTTTATGAGTTATAACATTTACGCTCCAAGGGCTCTTAATTTAAGGACAATCATGGTAAAATTGAAAATAAACCAAACTCAGAGGTAAATGTTAATCTTTGAAATTTATAAGAGCAAAACTATTAGCTTTGGCTACGGATACACAATGAACTTTTGATAAAAACTAAATTCAAAATATTTAAGCTATAGCTTTTTAGAATAAAACATAGTGTAGTGGGTTTGATCCACCGAGGAGTGTGCAGCTGCCAAAATAACTTAAATATTTTTTACAACCACTAAAATGGACTTGGATGTAAACATCATATTTTACGTCACATCCACTACAATTGTTTTAAAACTAAACATGCTTTCGTTGAATACATCTGGCTCTGGCTGGTCAATACAGGTCTACTTCAGAATCCAAAATCAATGCTACACGTTTTTGGGTTTTCAACCACATACCTTAGATTCACTTTCCTGTTGCAATACTAAACGTTCTAATTTATTTATTTCTTTTTTCAGCTGGTCATGTGAGGCACTTTTTTGAGACGAGCTGGTCGGCGTGTTAGTGACCTGAAATGAACAGCATGCAACGTTTTCATGTTTAGAGGCGGGACAAAATATGTTCAGGTTAATATTAATAGCAACAAATTTTAGTTAGTTATTTTACTCAGATGAGTAATAATAGCACCCAATATTGTATTAACAAGTTGTTCACTTATTTTAAATGAGGATTAATTACTTAGAATGAGAGAGAAGTTAATACCGACATGTATAACCACAACAATAACACAGACATTATCACATATGTACAAAGCATTGTTACCACCCAAAGTACAAAGAAGCAAATGTCGCTACCCAAAGCACAAAACATTGTCACCTCTTAGAGAAAGAAGCGAAGTCACTCTCCAAAGTGCAACGCATTGTCACCTCTTAGGCCCACTTCACACTGGGCCACCATGGTGGTGACACCGGTGGCGACACCATGGTGGCTACGTTACATTAGCATTGATTTAAATGGGACATCTTCACACTGGGCTTTGGTGGCGCGTCTGGCCGCGCGACCAGAAATGCGGTGGCTCGGGGTTGCGATTTTCAGAGACACCAGTCTGGTGGCGCCACCACGTCGTACCATGGTTTCTTATCGGACTGTTCACATTGGAGCGACTGGCAGCGCCACCAGTCACTACCAGCGGGCATTACTCAGTATACTAGTTTACTAATCTTTTGAAGTTGTTAAGGTAATAAATATGGGGAAACGATTTTATTGATATAACAAAATGTATAGGTATTTCATTTACATCTTTTCGTCATTGCAATGTATACATTGAGTCAAGGTATTACAGTGTTATTAATAAATGGTATATTAACTATGTTTTTATTTAATTTTCCACAACGTTAGTAGCAGTTTCTCTTCTGGAGATATTTAATCTTTCAGACGTCCCAGAAGCTCATCAAAACTTAAAACACTCATTCTTGAGTAAGTAGTAATTGTGAAACGTGTCAGGGTTATTTCTAAGGTCTTGGTAGTGAATGAAAAAAGTCTCTCTGGTACTTATATCTCATAAAAACGGATGATCAAAAAAATAAGTTTTTTTCTTATGTTTTCACAATTTCAAAAAAATATATACGCTAAGCAACTGCCTCTTCGACGTCCAACTGTGAGCTTTGTGGCTGCAGCTGCACTGGTGGCTGAGCTGGTGGTCCATGCACATTTTGACCGGCCACCAGTGTCGCCACCATGGTGGCCCAGTGTGAAGAGGCCCTTAGAGAAAGAAGCGAAGTCACTCCCCAAAGTACAACACATTGTCACCTCTTAAAAAGTAAGCAATGTTCCCTCTTGAAAGAGGCAACATTTCTGCTCAATGAACAATGCATTGTCACCTTACAAAAAATGTTCACCTCTTAAGGTAAAAAGCTTTGTTGTTGGCACCCAAATTCTAAAGCATTATCACATCAAATTAAACAAAACACTGTATCCATTCAAATAAAGCGCAACAGTATTAAAATATTAAGATAAGATATTTGATCATTATTTAAAAAAAAGATTTCTAAGTTAATTGATGGTTTATGTAATAGCAAATTTTTAAACACAAAAAATGTTAGGGCCTACACATTTTTATAAATTAAGCTTGGAACACTTTACTGCCAATGGACAAATCTGAGCCTCATTAACACGTTGAGAGCTGACTACATCCATTGATGTAGTCGCGCCACCCCATTACTACATTATAGTTCAGTATGAGCTCAGCCATTGCCGGGGAACATTAATCGTTGCTAACCTGTAGTTTAGAATGTGGAGCTTTGTTTCGGTGTAGGTTGGTACAAAGCTTTCTTGTAAAATCCCGTCTGACAATGCTTTTGACCCGGTTTCTGGGATTTTCTATCTTCAAGCCACATTACAAAGACACTGATTACTGATCCAGGCAGTGCTGCTACCTTTGGGTGTTTCAGTGAACTACATCCACTCTCAGGGTAACGCAGCACAATCACTGCTGCTCTTTTGTTATTCGTCAGATTGAAATATTTGAATGCCAATTGCGTTTGCTGATTCGGTGCCGCGCCACCAATGGTGAGCGCCTGTTTGAATCAGCGAGCACATAATAAAATAGAGAGGACACGGCGTTTAACCAAATGCACTAAAAGTGTGGCCAAATCCGCCATCTTGGTCCATCCTACAGCCTGAATCCAAGACCCACGAGCACAGTTCGAATTAAAAACCCCGCGACATATACACGATCATAAACAACATTAATAGTTGACAAAAATTGCTGAAATTTTGCACACTTGTAGATATGATACTGAGGATAACGATGGTGTTAATATAAAATTATTAGTTATGGTAGTAATTGATTTATAAATATGTTTAACACTTATGAAGTTTAATTTTTCAGATTCAGACATTTAAATTGGTTTTAAAAATTAAAACCAAGCTAAAGTAAAAGTAATTACCATTCTAGCAGTGCATGGTCGTTCCTGAATGCAGAGAGCATGGAAAAAAAATATTGTGTTAAAAGTAGTTTTATGTTGTAAGTGAAGTAAAATGTACATTCAACGAGATAGGCCTAAGTATAATATATCACCAAATAAGCCACAAGATTAAACGGAGACTAGCAACTACTTGGACCAAATGAAGTAACAGTGAAAAGTTATATAAAAATAATAATTTGCAACAGTGGTAATTTTGGTAACGTAAGAAATGTATGACAAAACTCCTTCGCATTTCTTCAGCTTGAAAATAAAATTATTTAATAAAACTTTAAACCTATTTAGGTTAGGTTTTTTCCATTTTTGAACAACTTTTATAGACATCTTTAGATATTAAAGGATTTTTTCAAAAGGAATCGAGTTTAGCTAGCTTACCTAAGAGTCTAGGGGATAATAGAAATACAATAAAAGAACACAGAACATCGCACAGATATTTTGCACAGCTGTAGGACTTTTACAGAGTAGGTTGAAGAAAACATAACTTTCTTCTCTTCAAACTAAACTCTAAAGAAGTCTTACGTCATGACAAAATATCACTGATATGTTTTGGGTTCTTTTAGCCCATGGACTCTTAATTTTCTAAGGTAAGCTAGTTGAACTCTATTCCTTTTCAAAAAATGCCTTACTAACTTGGCTTTTCTTTAAAATATAACTTATTAAGTAATTTTCGGACCATTGTTACACGATTAACATTGTACATTATTACACAGCTCAATATAAATTCATGTCAGGTATTTGATTACTGATGACCCTGCTGCTCTAAGTTTTACACTTGATGGCCAGTAGTGTAAAGGTGCCGTTAATACGCTTGAAACATTTAAAACCATGTTAAATAACAAAAGAGTTTGTATATTTAAATGAACATTAAACTAGTGTGTCCTTTTTTTTTGCTTCAACAACCTAACAAAGTTTTCAAAGTCCCCTTTTGAGTTTCACCACATATTAGCAACTATGGAGTAAAATACAAATTGGTAACCTGTTTTGGAGCTCGATCCTTATAAGCATGAAACCAAATGACAACATAGTCTTCATAAATTATAATAATATTATTCGTGAGCATTTTTGCATGCCACTAGAAAATTTGGTTTATAAACTATCTAGGCCTTTAAAGTTTAAAGAAATATACATATATCTGTTTAAACCCTAGGAAGACATTTTACTTTTACCGGTCCGGTTTCTAGAAGTTGAAATATAGAACATTAGAAAGTGTTTAATTGTGGGTGTTACGACCAACGACTGTAAATGAAGCATTGGTCTTATGAAATAGTTGGGCCTCCGTTATAAGCGATCAGTGTGCGGCAGAATAAAACTCATGGTTAATTTAGGAGACGTTGATTCATTTCATTTGTAACAATAATGTAATATACTGTACCAATGTTAAAGAGCTTCAAGAAAGATTCTATTGAGTATAATATTATGTCTTGTCTTGTCTTGGATGCTTTTGGATATCTAACAAAAAAACTGATAATTAAAAAATTATTTGAGATAAAATGGTAACCGATTTCCTAAATACAAAGTTCTTTTAAATGGATTTCTTCTGAAACTGAAAATGCTGTATGATAACTTACACTTAGTAATTCTGAAAAAAGTTACATAGTAAAGTTTTAAAACTTAATTTACCGTCTTGGTAGAGCAAGGACGTTCCTATGCGGAAGGCAGCATGAAAATATGCATAAAATTAACAAAACATAATAATAATTAACTCTAGTTTTTATGGACTTAACAATGTAAACGTGAATGTGAGATTATTTGTTTGTTTGCTTTACTTTCACTTACAATCTTATGCATTAAATTCTTAGAAGAAACTAAGGAAATGTAATGTTAACATATTCACAAAATTATTATATAAAAAAAAAAACTTTTAATATAATTATGAACACACCAGTTATGTAAGTTTGTCTCCTCACTTGTTTTGTAAGTTCTCAAGTTGTTGATTTTAAACTGAGAAAACATTAATAAGACGATCCAAAGTAATAAATCGACAAACATTAGGCATTATACTTATGAAACTTTGATTAACATCTTACCCTTTTAGTTGACGGATTTTGATCCTACACATGTGACAGCCATAAAAGAAATATTGTATGGATCAGTAATTATTTATGGAAACAGCTTTAAACTCTAACAAGGAGTCAAATAAAATCTGGGCAAATCTCTTAAAACAGTCTTACTGATTTAAGAAAAATGTTATAGCAAAACATGTTATAGGTAGTATATTAAATAATATTTAAGTATAAAAAATGTGTTACCTACTCAATATAACCGTAATACATAGGTTATGTTTGCTTAAATGTTATTGAAATTCAAACAGATTCTATTGCATAAGAAGAGATTTTATTTTTGAGAGAAAGGAAACAAAAACACATACTGCAGCTCGAGGTACCTATTGTAGGCCAGTTTTACCCAACTTTGAAGCCAAACTACACATTATTTTAAATCCTAGATTTTAAAATCTAAAGATAATTGCGTGACACTGACTAAACCAATAATTCATTGTTGGCCGAGTTTGATATTTAATGGGCAATGTGTGTGGTGGCATTGAAGTTGGGGGGGAAAAATCAGGTGACATTACTACAAAAACCTCATCTAATCCACTTACTAAAAATATTGTCTTGGTAGGCTGTGCTACATTTTTAGACTTTAGATGTGAAGTTAATATTATACCCTGATCCAACCTTTGACTTTGAAGAGCCTACATCAAATGATCGCAACGTAAACTTTTAGTAACTTTGTTGAAATTGTTTTATAAGTAATCTAAACAAGGTATAATCTAGCATGGTTAGGTTAGGCTGTATAAGAGACTATGCAATAATGTTACAGTAACTCGGTAGACCCAATGTGTAAGTATCAAACTTGCCAAATTAGGCTAATGTTGTTTTGCGTATTTCAGACATAACATATAACCATACAAAACAAGTTTAGAGGATGTATGTGCTTTCAAAATTGACTAAGGGATTGCAGCTGTTGAATTTTGCCGCACATCATGACACTTGGACCTACCGACTTAGTAGCAGCCGCTTCAGGGGAGGTGGAGGAAGGCGTCTTGGCCGGGGCTGGAGGGGTGAGAGAGATGAGCTTCTGTACTGCCTCCAGAGCAGGACTGCGACCAGGAGTCTTAGGGACATCAGCTGCTGAATCCTCAGACTGTGGTTTACTGGGGCTGTCCTCACTGCAACATGGGTTAGGTTAGGTTGGGATCTTCATGTGATAAGCAACTACACAATCATATCGAAGAATTGTAGAAATCAAAGTGCAAAAAAAAAGTGCAGTAAAGCCCCAAATAAGCAAAACAATGGGCCGTTTGGATAACATTTTTTGGGGTCAATGGTAAGAATTCAAAGGCTATGTCTATTCTATTCAACGATATCTAAACTGTACACACCAAACCTAGTTATTGAAATAATCAACGGTTTTTTCTTAACTTTATTTCTACCACTGTATGAGATCTATATCGTTGTCTGTTCCATTGCATTCCATTAGACAAACCAAACCAACCACATTCCTAATAGTTCCCGTTGCCTAGCTAATTTTCTATTTAATTTTAAATCTTTATAATGGTTTTGGTTAATCTAGGTTTCAGTTGACAAAATCCAGTTAAAAGCAGGCTTTAATGTACGGTACAAGAATAGAACTTTTGAATGGATTGAATTTTTTAGAGATGTGAGCAGGATGCACGAAATTATAATTTTCCGTGACTAAATATGGTTTCTGGACAATTTGCAATAGGTTGATGTTGAACATTGTCCGAAAAAGTTTAATAAAAACGAATACTTACGTTTGTTTTTCCTCAACCGGAGCAGACGGAGGTGGCATGGTGAATTTGTCACTGATGGCTTTCGAGACTAAAGCACCGACGATGGGGTCGAACTTGACATACAGTGAATCTCTAGTCAGTGAAGTCTTTATGATCCCTTCAGTATTGCCAACTTGAGTGAAAAAGTCCAAGTCTAGGTTGGCTCCGTCCCGGAATTCCACTGTAAAACAACACAAAATTAACATCCAAATGAAATGACCTATTTCACTAAATCTGGTTTTTTTTAGTTGTTCCTGAATTTGTAAGAAATTAGATATTGTTAAAGCAATTAATTGTTGTAAGCCGTCATTGGTGTCTCATTGAAAGGACACCAAAAAACATATGAAAATCCGTACAATAAGTTACCAGTAAATTGAAATTAAACGAGAATTTGTCAATTTTTTCTTTATTATTTTAGAGTGTAAGATTGACCAACAATTTATATTTCATCAAAATTCTTTCACAAGTTGGCGTGTTTTATATCTAAGCGGCGTTTACACAAAGCCAGTTTGCAGGCAGATTACCTGCCTCAGGTAACTTGAAATACACTAAATTGCCTGCCTACTGGCCTTGTATATAAACACGGCTTAGTGGTATACTTATAGAGACTATATAATTTGGTATAGACCGCTTGCCTGTACATGTTGATAAAACCTTGCATTTCTTTAGGCATATTTTACTAAAACAACATGACTTTGTCTTTCTTGTGGTGGCAAGCATAAGTAGTCACTAAATCTAATGTGGTTTATTTTAACGATTATTGAAATTGGATTGGTTTGTTTATTTACGAGATATTTAGAATTGTTGCACCAAGGAAGAAATTGAAAACAAAAATACTGATAACTCTCTGTAAAGGAAAACTGAGCAAAGTTCAACCAAGAAACATGAGTAAATAGTCAGTGCAGATTTGTTTGTTCATCATCAGCATAAGAGCAAGACACATCATATGTCTCCATATCACATTGAATACCTAAAAAACCTAAAGCCTTAGAACAATAATGTAACATACTAAGTTTTTACAATCATTAAAATGTTTGTCTTTCATTTTAGAAAAGTGCCACGACTGTTTCTGCTTCTTTCTCAGCGAAAATCAATTAGAACAGTTTAAAGCATGATTAGTCATTTAGATCAAATTGTTGACCGAGCTAATTTAGTTTCAACTGACAAAATGATGTAGCCAAAATGAGTCATAGTTACAGTATTGAGATCATCACAAATTTAATTAGTAATATAAGGACGTTACTCTTTGACCTCAAAAGATTGATATTGGACTCAAGAATAAGATCACCAAACAGATACTTCCGCTGGCCACTGGAAGTTATACCTGACGCAATGAATAGAAACCCCCTTAAGAAAAACACATCTTATGGGATCTTATGGGGTCAGTCAAAATTTGGCGATCAATATCTGTAGTTGTGCCCTCCTCCACCAGAAGAGTTAGTGACATCTTTTGTCTTTTGTCACGTGATGTCTTCTTTCTCTCTTACTTCAAGTCAGCCCTCTCACTCACACTTAGGGGAGAGCAAAATAACTGGCAACTACAGATCTTGATCGCCAAATTTTGACTGACTATTTTAACCTAATTGTGTTCTTCTTAGAGGGTTTGGTTTGTTTTCATTGCCTGACGTTTGTTCTGCTTAAAACGTTTACTTTCTTGGACTAGTTGCCCAGTGTTTAAATGTAGTAGACGGTTAGGTCTTAACCATTGGCATACTGAAATTGAACTACTTGCTGCAAACAAGAATTCATATTTTAGGCTCTTTTGACTTACAAAAACTATAACTCCCTTATTCACTTTTATGTTGCCTTAAATTGCTATCCTCCTCCTCAGCAATATTGGAGGACATTTGCAATTATCTAAGTGTCTATTTCACTCGATTATAAACAAGACAATCACAGCATTTTGACACAAAACATGACCTAAAAACTCTCACTTATTGTTTATGTTTACTAATATTTTTGTTCAACACGTTAGGTAACAAAAGGAATTAAAAATACACAAGATAACTATTAAAGATGAACAGTCATTGACTCGACAAGTGCTGTGATCCCTCGGAATAATGTAGAACTAGTAGCAATGTACCGTGATGGACCAGTTCCAGAGAGCAATAGAGGCGGGACGAGGATTATTATATTTTTTTCATGACAAAAGATTAATGTCTTGCAGATTAATGTGATTGTCTGCCGCGGTCACGGAAACATCATCGTCTCCCGCCATCACGGTTACATCATCATCGTCTTCCGTGAGTGCAGGAAAATTGTAAAATATACCCCACGGTCATGTAGACATTATCGTCTCCCATGGTTATAGAAACAACTCAATCTTTTTCCTTGATTGTGACAAAATCTAGAATATCTTTGTCAGTCTACAAGACTACAAGATGGCGGGAGACGATGATGTTTCCGTGACAGCAGCAGACGATGATTTCTTCCAGACTGCAGAAGATATGCGAGATTCTGCTGCGATCGTGAAAACGATGACAATTTTTCTGTTACCGTATGAGAGAATTATGTCTACATAACCACTAGACTGCTGCGAACCCTGCTTCTCATTTCTTCAAAAAGGTTTGTTGTTACTGTGTCCTCAAGTTTTTTTTCTTTCTTTAGCGAATCAGATGGTTTGAGTTAGGATAATTGGAGTTCTACTATAATTTGAATTTTTGCCCATAGACAAGAGGGGAACATGAGAAAAAATTGGCATGATTAAGACATTGTATAGTCCACTGAGCATAATTGACTACAAGGCGTGGCGAAATGCACCAACACAACCTGAGAAACACCATGCAGTACAACCTTCCACAACATCGCACGACACAGTTTGAAAAGAAACCTTCATACGCAGGAATGAAAATCTACAACAGGCTACCTCCAGATCTAAGAAGCAAGTCAGACGATGACCTCAAACCAGCTTTGCATCAATGGCTCATTAATCGACCTTTCTATTCCTTAGAAGAATACCGTCAACAGGTCTTTGACTAAACAACACCTCAACCAAACATTTAGAAAAAATGGTAAATTGACGCTACTACTATTCTTAATGAATGTGTAAATAAAGATTATTTGTCTATTGTCTATTGTCTACTACGGCATACAATACTTACAGTCTTCAGTGCTCAGCTCATCTGCGGTGATTGGTCCAGCTTCACTCTGATTGAGATGAGAGGGAAGTACTGCACGCATACTCTGAAAAACAAAAACAAACTTTTGTTAAAACATAAAACTGACAACATAACATTGAAGATTACAAAGCCAGAAAAAGTATTATTCAACATATTTGTTCATTATACTCAGGAGTCAGACAGGGGGATGGGCTTTCCCCGATTTTATTCAATATCCTGGAGGAGACACTGAAGAAGAGAGCAGAAATGAATTGAGTGTCAACGTTGGTGATAAACTGAATGTGCTAGCATTTGCAGACGACGTAGCTATAATGGCTGAAAAGCTACAGGACCTAACTAAACTGACCGATGTCTTCATAAGAGAAGCAGAAAAAGTTAGGGCTGAAGACAAACGATTCAAAGACCAAATTTATCCACAAGAGACCAGAACTACACACAAAGCCCTCTCCTAGTCCATGGTCATAAATTTGAACAAGTGTAAGAACTCAAATACCTCAGAGTCACAATATCCAATAAAAATTCAGAAGAAATTGAGATTCACCACAGAATCAATTCAGCATTTATATGCATGCAATAGATTATTCTCACCCAAATCACTGTCATAAAAAAATACCCCCGTCGCAGCAAACCTGCATACTAAGCGAATTTCCATTCACCCGGCTTGATTTCTACTAAAATATTCCCTATAAATTTTCAGATTTATTTCCTATTTAAATAACATTAATTTTAGTGAGTAGTTAGGTTTGCTGCTACGGGAAAGATGTTGAGGTGTGTTTTTTCAATTGAAATATTGGTAGCTTAGTATGAAATAAGCCAAATTTGATTGAAATATATCCATAAACAAGCAAACTAGAACAGTTTATTTATTCTCCATAAGAATAACATGGGAATTTTAAATTTACAATTTCTTTAATTTTCTCCGTAGTCAATGAACATTCAAAAAAACTTCAATATACTAAATTATTTGTTTTTTTAAGCTCTTCCAAATGGTCTAGAGAGAAATTTAGAAATTTAAAGTTTTTAGGGTCAAAAATGAGAAAAACCCATTTTTACCCCATAAAACCCCCCATAAACCCCTGATCCTATGGTTCGATTATGCTGGTTCGCGAACTCGTTTGAATAAATGTAGGTTTACACGTTTGTACCAAATTTCATCAAAATCGGATCAATTTTGCTCGAGTTATCGCGCACATATATAAATATATATATATGAATTTGAACGGATGGTGTTTTTGGCCTCTGAGGACCTCAAAACGAAAAAGTAAATCGGTCCCGGGTCTAGGTCTTACCATGAGACCTACGGTAATAGCTTATTCCCTATATGGGAAATTCGCTAATATTCCCTATATGGGAAATTCGCTAAAATTGGATTGTATAAATGAATAGTTATTCCAGTTTTACTTTATGGATCGGAAACATGGATATTAAATAAGAAAGAAAGAAAGCGGATTGTTTTTGAAATCATAGTCTTGAGGAAGATATATGACGTATGACAAAGGAGATTGGAGGAGGATATACACAATAGGGAAATTATACTACCATTTTATGTCCATGTAGCTGAAACATAACAGTGCAGACATATGAGTGGGATAAAGTGTAGAAGGACACGTGAGAAGGGAAGAACCGTCTCAACTGAAGAAAACAGTAAAAATAACCCTGAAGGAAGGCAACCTTGTGGAAGACCGGAAAAAAACAGAGATGGTAGGACCAGGTTAAGTCAGACATACAAAGAGTTGGAGCCACAGAACTGGATACAGAGGTCAGGTCGAATTTGAGAGTATTTGTTGGTGATGAGGCTAAATATCACCTGCGAGATGGATGGCCCTGGGAGTAAGAGTAAGTAAGTATTCAACATATGACAGCAAGCATGAATAAGAAAACCACAAATTTTAGTTGCCAAAAAAAGGGGAAAACTGCAACAATTCTGTTACAATATTTGTGCTCTTGACATAACACTTTTAAAAAATGTCATTGCCACCGGTAAATAAAGAAAAACCTCAGGGTCCTGGTCTGCTGAGTTCGGGGTTTTTATGGTTATTTGATACCCTCTCTTTTTGTTCGAAGAGATATCCATTTCACTTCACTGTATTTGGATGATATAGCTGTGTGGAAACATTTTAATTTAAGTGTCGAGTCAGTATATCTTTGTTGTTATCCTGTAATAAAACTAAGAATTGGTAGTGAGGGAATGTCTCAGTTTCTAACAAACGCGTGTTTTATTTTTTTAGTACCAAATGAAAACATTTGCAATTTGCATAGTACAAATAGTTTTGTGCTTGGTCACCCTTTCATCCCTTAAAAAATTCATATTGTATTTTTTTTATAACTGTTTGATGTTAATGGTAATAGGTAGACATAATGTTGATAAGAGTAGTCATTTAACATTTTTGTTTTGACTGATGACTAATGGTTTTACCCATAACCTTTGTTTGGCAAACTCTCCCAGAAAAATCTTTCTCTTGTTGTATATAAACTGAAAACAAAAAATCCAGCGGATACAGTAAATATTTACTCAAAGAGTTGCATTTTTATAAACATGTTCACAAGTGAGGTGAGAAGCAAATTAAAACCAATTTCAACCACTACGTTCTTTTTTTGAGATCGTTATCTTTTGCCGTGCTTCAAAGTCATCAGCCAAAGATATATTAGGTTTACAGACAGTTTTTATTAATGTTAGATATGAACAAACAAAGGAGCAAACACAAAGCAGAAATAGAATTCTAGCTTTCACAATTGAAGATTATGGTTCTATGGTCTCCATTCATCAAACCAGAAAATAGTATTATAAACTATGACAAAACAAGGATATTGTAAGGTAACATAATATTTTTTATTAATATAAATCTACATCCAGAAGTAGGACAGTAAATTCTAAATATTAAAATTTAAAAGCCTCTCTCTACTATCACTCATAGATTTTTAAGGATAAAAAAACGCCAAACTAGCCTCAAATTATCATTTTCTGCTTCACTAATCACGGTGCACCAAAATTGATTTCCTTTCCAATAAAAATCAAGAAAAATTCAGTTTTTAACCTTAAAGTTTATCTATTTAAAAATGTTAATAATTGTACAAAAAACTAAATACTTGTACATATTTTTATTGCAAAAATCTCCCAAACAAAAACTTGAAAATTCTAATCTTTGTTATTTCCGTTTTTTATGACGGTCGTATTTGCATGATAAGGAAACTTGGGGCAGATACAGGCAGAATTTCAGTGAGCCATAACAGATATTAAATGAATCACATATACTGTATGCAACGTTCGCACAGTCAAAGATTCATGAATTTGCAGAAAATCGCAGAAGATTCTATAATCGGTATTCAATTCACGAAATATCAAGAATCAATTAATTTTCACATTAACATGTAGACAGTTGCGAGGAATCGAGACTCAGAATCAGCTCATTAAAAAGTTCACGGCTCATTTACGGGTTTTAAGGTTGAGCAGGTATTCGATAGTTCGACACTCCTTGTAGTTCGACACGGGCCGAGTTATTTTGTCAAGTGATATTTAATTTTTTTAATGGTTACTATTGTGTGATGTAAGCTGACTTAAACATTGATTTGTCATTTATTGTTTGATTGAGACTTGACTAATGAACAGTGAAATTGTTAAGCTTTTTTAGTATTTAATAAATTTGGGTGATTTCTATACAAGACTTTTGTTTTCCCCTATAGTTTGACATTTCTATAGTTAGACATCCCCTAAGTCCACAAAGTGTCGAACTATCCAGGTTCTACCGTAACACTAAAAATAAACAAAGAAACCTTTTGTGGTTCTAACGGCAGATTCAGCTTAAAAGAGAACACACAGTTTTTGTCAAATTTCGAACTTTTCAAAGTGTACACACATTGTGCAAAATCATGCCTATTCAAGCTTGAAATCTTTTTTCCTAAAGCTTTTATGTCAGGTTGAGCAAAAACAAGAAAAACAAGCTTCATAAATCACATTTCTAAATTAAAAATTAATTATTATGAAAGAACTACTCATTAATAAAGCAAATATCATACTCCACAAAATACCTCCATATAAGAATTGATTGATGATTCAGCTACACCAAACGGTTGTTTAAAGGTGGTCTGTTTGCTGCTTCTTGGTGAGAAAGAAGATGGTGTTTTGGAAACTGTTGATCTTGGTGAGAGAGAAGGTGGTGTTTTGGAAACTGTATATCTTGGTGAGAGAGAAGATGGTGTTTTGGAAACTGTTGATCTTGGTGGTATTCTTTCATCATTCTTTGTAGCATTGCTGGTTTCTTCGACTGTTATGACTGTTTTATTGACATCGCCTTCCGAATCTGATTCGTCTAACTCCCTAGAAACATTTAATATATGTTCGGATACATTTGCTGCTTCTTTCATCAATATGTCATCAAAATCGTCTTCAAGTGAATCAAACTTCTCTACGCTTTCCAGGCTGTTCACTTCTGCAGGATTTGTTGAAACTCTGTTTTGTACCGAGGTATCACTTTTACTGTCTTTGGTTTGTGATTTTGACAGTTCATAACAGTCTTTGAACAATGACTCATTTCTGTGAATTGTATTACTTTCATTGGAAGATTCAAACACATTTTCACCCAAGGAAGTTTTTCCTGAGCAGATGTCTTTGATAGAACTAGTGTGATGTGCCTGTTCATTAACTGGGTTTAACTCTTTTTTCTTATTTGAAAGATGCATTTTCTTGTATGTTTCTTCAGACTGATTCAACTTGAAAGGTGAGCTTTTACTCTTTAAAAGAGCATGAGAAGACTCAGCGTCATCACAAGAAATTTCACTGCTTGAAGCAATTTTATTCTCTTTGGGAGGAATAATGACCTCGACTTTACTATCCTCGTTCAAATCAACAGACTTAATGTCTTTATTGATATTCTCCTTGGTAGACTTCTGTAACTCAGTTTGAACATGAACATTCGTTATGGTATCTCCTGACACAGTCTCTACAGGTGACGATTTATTTTTGAGTAATGAGTAATGAGTACGATAATGAGTTTCATAGTTAGACCTAATCAACTCTTCTAATTCCTCTTTGCCTCCAGGTCTCATTATATAATCTATCATATTCACATTAATTGGTGGTGTTTCGGTTTCGGCTTTCATGATAGAACTGCTATTTCTTGATGTAAAAGAGTTCATCGACATCCCAATAAATGATTGGTTAGATTCATCAACACTATGGTTTTCCTTGGTGTCAAAATATTGGACATTTTCATTAGAACTCTTAGATGAAATTGTCAACATATCATTTGACTTTACTTCTTTGACATCATTGTCTCTTTCTGACACTTCAAAGGGCAATTTCTTCTCGTTTAGTGTATTATTGGAACTAGACAGTACCTTACATTCTTCAACAATCAACTTATTCTCATCTAATGGCTCACTAAAGCTAGATGAGCTGAGTGTGGTATTATCAGATTTTACTCCTTCAACATTACCAATCAACTCAGAGTCTTGCGGAGGCAGTTTTGTCTCATTTAGAGGATGAGCAGAACCAAGTATCTTGACATCGTCAGACGGATCATCTGATTTCACCTTTTTGGTATTACCAGGAACAGGATCAGGAACAGTTTTTTCAGCAGGTAATGTCTTCTCCTTTATTGGATTAACAGGGTCAGGTAGCATGTCCTCTGATATCACTACTCTGATAGTATTATCTTCTTCAGCAGGCATTTTCTTCCCATTCAATGGATTAACAGAACTAGATAACTTGACATCATCAAATGACATTTCTTTTGTAGCATCGTTGACTGTCTTAGACTCTTCAGGCAGTTTCTTCTCATTTAACGAATCTTTGGTGTCAGGTAGCGTGTCCTCTGATATAACTACTTTGATTGTATTACCTTGTTCAGCAGGAATTTTCTTCTCATTTAATGGATCGACAGAATTAGATACCTGGACATCATGCAATAACACATTGTTGGTTGCATCATTGTCTGTCTGAGAATCTTCTAACAATTTTTTCTCATTTGAAGAGTCATTTGTGTCAGAAAGTGTGTCCTCTGATATCGCTACTTTGATGGTACTATCTTCTTCAGCAGATATTTTCTCAATTGTATTTACAGAACTAGTCTTCTTGACGCCATCCGGAGAGAATTTGTTGGGAGCATCTGCCTTGGGCTCATCAGGAACGACTATCTTCTCAACTACTGAAATGTTAGTTTTAGATACCAAAACAGTTTCTTCTTTATCTTCTTTCTCGTGATTAACTGACTGAGACTTATCAGCTGGCACGCTCTCCTCACTTACCAAGTAACTACGACTAGACGGCAAGGTAATATCTGATTTTACTGCTTCCATATTATCACCCGACTCAGACACAAGAGACAAATTCTCCTTGTTTGTTGCATCAAGTGAGTTTGGTATTGTATCATCTAATGTCTCTGTTTCCGTAATACTATCAGTCTTAGACTCTTCAGAAGGAAATTCTTTTTCCCTCATTTGATCTTTAAAGTCACATGAGTTGATTTCATCCGATAACACTCTCTTGGTAGTGATGTGTGTCTCAGCTGATGAGTTTTGTTTGTTTGATGAGTCGTTAAGTGTGATATGACCTGATATTGTTTCTTTGACACAATCTGTCTGGATTACTTCAGCAGCTGATTCCTTCTTATAAAATAGAACCTCTGAGCTAGATGTAGTTTCTTTGGTAAAACTGTCTGTAATGTTTATTTTTTCAATAGATGAAATCAAGTCTTCTATACCAAAACTGTTACGCTTACACATGCTAGAACTTGCCAATCCTCCAACAAAAGAATAATCACTGGATGTATTTTGATTGGTAGGGCTACTCTCTAAAGTAGTTTGACTTTTTTCTGACAGAGATTTATTTTCTTTTAGATCGCCTTCAGTGTGAAAGCTATAATTTCCATTCTCTGTGTTTCCATCTGTTTCTTCAATCAAAGACAGTCTATTTGTACTATCAGATAACACAGGATCTACAGAAGATGTAATCTGATTTTCCACATGCTGATCTATTTCTTTTACAGATTCTTTAATATCTGATACAATCGATTGGCAAGCATTGACATTTTCATAAGTACTCAGGTTTTTAACTGTTTCAACGACTTTCTCCTTTCCTGAAGCAACAATAATAAACTCTTCAGATTGCCTACTCTTGTTTTGAGCTCCTACACTTTTGAGAGAATTCCCTACTTCAACTATTTCTTCTGCAGATTCTTCAATTGAATTAATCCCTGACACATTCACTTGGGAATGATTGGCGTTTTCTGAACTCAAACTTTGGTTTTCAGCTTCAACATTGCTACTCTCTTTTTCATCTGGAACAACACCAATGAACTCAACCGATGACCCACTCTTGTTTTGAGCTCCTTCTAGACTTTGGAGATAATGAACTACTTCAACTATTTCTTCTGCAGATTCTTCAATTGAATTAATCCCTGACACATTCACTTGGGAATGATTGGCGTTTTCTGAACCCAAACTTTGGTTTTCAACTTCAACATTGCTACTCTCTCTTTCATCTGGAACATCACCAATGAACTCAGCCGATGACCCACTCTTGTTTTGAGCTCCTTCTAGACTTTGGAGATAATGAACTACTTCAACTATTTCTTCTGCAGATTCTTCAATTGAATTAATCCCTGACACATTCACTTGGGAATGATTGGCGTTTTCTGAACCCAAACTTTGGTTTTCAACTTCAACATTGCTACTCTCTCTTTCATCTGGAACATCACCAATGAACTCAGCCGATGACCCACTCTTGTTTTGAGCTCCTTCTAGACTTTGGAGATAATGAACTACTTCAACTATTTCTTCTGCAGATTCTTCAATTGAATTAATCCCTGACACATTCACTTGGGAATGATTGGCGTTTTCTGAACCCAAACTTTGGTTTTCAACTTCAACATTGCTACTCTCTCTTTCATCTGGAACAACACCAATGAACTCAGCCGATGACCCACTCTTGTTTTGAACTCCTTCTAGACTTTGGAGATAATGAACTACTTCAACTATTTCTTCTGCAGATTCTTCAATTGAATTAATCCCTGACACATTCACTTGGGACTGATTGGCGTTTTCTGAACCCAAACTTTGGTTTTCAACTTCAACATTGCTACTCTCTCTTTCATCTGGAACATCACCAATGAACTCAGCCGATGACCCACTCTTGTTTTGAGCTCCTTCTAGACTTTGGAGATAATGAACTACTTCAACTATTTCTTCTGCAGATTCTTCAATTGAATTAATCCCTGACACATTCACTTGGGACTGATTGGCGTTTTCTGAACCCAAACTTTGGTTTTCAACTTCAACATTGCTACTCTCTCTTTCATCTGGAACAACACCAATGAACTCAGCCGATGACCCACTCTTGTTTTGAGCTCCTTCTAGACTTTGGAGATAATGAACTACTTCAACTATTTCTTCTGCAGATTCTTCAATTGAATTAATCCCTGACACATTCACTTGGGAATGATTGGCGTTTTCTGAACCCAAACTTTGGTTTTCAACTTCAACATTGCTACTCTCTCTTTCATCTGGAACATCACCAATGAACTCAGCCGATGACCCACTCTTGTTTTGAGCTCCTTCTAGACTTTGGAGATAATGAACTACTTCAACTATTTCTTCTGCAGATTCTTCAATTGAATTAATCCCTGACACATTCACTTGGGAATGATTGGCGTTTTCTGAACCCAAACTTTGGTTTTCAACTTCAACATTGCTACTCTCTCTTTCATCTGGAACATCACCAATGAACTCAGCCGATGACCCACTCTTGTTTTGAGCTCCTTCTAGACTTTGGAGATAATGAACTACTTCAACTATTTCTTCTGCAGATTCTTCAATTGAATTAATCCCTGACACATTCACTTGGGAATGATTGGCGTTTTCTGAACCCAAACTTTGGTTTTCAACTTCAACATTGCTACTCTCTCTTTCATCTGGAACAACACCAATGAACTCAGCCGATGACCCACTCTTGTTTTGAACTCCTTCTAGACTTTGGAGATAATGAACTACTTCAACTATTTCTTCTGCAGATTCTTCAATTGAATTAATCCCTGACACATTCACTTGGGACTGATTGGCGTTTTCTGAACCCAAACTTTGGTTTTCAACTTCAACATTGCTACTCTCTCTTTCATCTGGAACATCACCAATGAACTCAGCCGATGACCCACTCTTGTTTTGAGCTCCTTCTAGACTTTGGAGATAATGAACTACTTCAACTATTTCTTCTGCAGATTCTTCAATTGAATTAATCCCTGACACATTCACTTGGGACTGATTGGCGTTTTCTGAACCCAAACTTTGGTTTTCAACTTCAACATTGCTACTCTCTTTTTCATCTGGAACAACACCAATGAACTCAGCCGATGACCCACTCTTGTTTTGAACTCCTTCTAGACTTTGGAGATAATGAACTACTTCAACTATTTCTTCTGCAGATTCTTCAATTGAATTAATCCCTGACACATTCACTTGGGACTGATTGGCGTTTTCTGAACCCAAACTTTGGTTTTCAACTTCAACATTGCTACTCTCTCTTTCATCTGGAACAACACCAATGAACTCAGCCGATGACCCACTCTTGTTTTGAGCTCCTTCTAGACTTTGGAGATAATGAACTACTTCAACTATTTCTTCTGCAGATTCTTCAATTGAATTAATCCCTGACACATTCACTTGGGACTGATTGGCGTTTTCTGAACCCAAACTTTGGTTTTCAACTTCAACATTGCTACTCTCTCTTTCATCTGGAACATCACCAATGAACTCAGCCGATGACCCACTCTTGTTTTGAGCTCCTTCTAGACTTTGGAGATAATGCACTACTTCAACTATTTCTTCTGCAGATTCTTCAATTGAATTAATCCCTGACACATTCACTTGGGAATGATTGGCGTTTTCTGAACCCAAACTTTGGTTTTCAACTTCAACATTGCTACTCTCTTTTTCATCTGGAACAACACCAATGAACTCAGCCGATGACTCACTCTTTTTTTGAGCTCCTTCTACACTTTGGAGGGGATAGTCAACTCCAACAGTTTTTTCTCCTGATCGTTCAATTGAACTAATCCCCGACACATTCACTTGGGAATTATTGACGTTCTCTGAACCTAAACTTTGTCTTTCAGCTTTCACAATACTATTTTCCTTCCCTGCTGAAACTCTACCGATAAATTCTACTGATGAGTCACTGCTGTTATGGGCTCCATCTGTAATTTGGAAGGAATTGTCTAAACTTCTGAAACTTTCATTGTAACTATAAGAAGCACACAAGTCGATGACACTATCAGGACTGCCCAGTTCTTTAACACTGAAGCTAGTGAACTCATCAGGTCTAGGCTGAATTTTTCCAGGAGTAGACAAGTGGAATTTGTCCAAATTGTCAGCTAATGCAGTTAAATTCAACTTATTTTCCACTGCATCTTCAAACCTGTCTTCTTCTTCCATATCATTTCCAGGACTTTGAGGGATTCGAATTTGTGGCAATTTGAGATCTTCATTCCCAGTGTCTGTAACAGAAAAATAGTCATACATTCACATCTGTTAAAAAACAGTTTTCATTAAATTATAAACTGTATAACTCCAACTATCCGAATCAATTGGGACCGTAACAAATTAGGATGGTTGAAGTTTAACTATGGGGATTGCAAAGATTTCCTGATTGAACGATTAAAGCTTTTGCCGCGATCGCAGAAGACAATTATGATTTTTCCATGACTGTGGGAGACAAATATGATGCACCATAACAAGGAAGATATTCAAGATTTTGTCGAAGATGTTGAAAAATATTACGTTGTTTTCGCAACTGCGGGAGACAAAGATCATGCCTACTCAACTGCAGGAGATATTCAGGATTTGGTTGCAATCACGGAATACGATGACTATGTATCCTTGACCATATGGTATATTTTACGTTTCTCCAAGACTGCGGGAAACGATGACGATGTTCCCGAGACCGCAGGAGACGATTATGAAGTCTAAACGACCACGAGAGTTTTTGGATTTTGTATCACAGATTCTGCCTTCTTTAACAATGATTCTTATTACTTGTTTTTTTTTATTCTTTCTGCAAGCAATTCGGATGGTTGGAGTTTGACCTTTATTTTTTTGTATAGAAGAAGATATGAAGAACCCATTTCAAATTAGGATCAAACTGTTTTAATTGGAGCACTAAAGTAAATGAGTTTTATCGATTAATTTGTAAGATACTGGATTTTTATTCAATGTTAACAGATTGTGCATCTTCCCAGTCATAGTTTTTAGTAAAATTCTGGAGATAAAGGAGGGAGTAAAATCTACATTACAGTGGAGTCCCGATAATCCGAACTTCGGTAATCCGAAAGTCCGCTTAATCCGAAACCAAAAAATATATTTTTCATAAAAAAAATTAAAATTTTTTGAAATTTTTTGAATTTTTTTTTTAATTTGTTTGAACATTTTTTGAAAACTTTTTTATTAAACTTTTAACACAGTTAGCTGTACCGAGTCAAAGTATTCTGTAGCGGCCGGGCGAGATAGACTTTTTTTGTAGAGTATTTTAGTAAATATTTCACCATTTTTGTTATTAACATTTTTCATTTTCGTCCGCCAAATCACAAATGGCGTGATAATGCTAATGATAATAATAATGATATGATAAAGTGATAATGCTGCAGCCACTAGGTCTAGCCTTAAGTAATGTGAAAAACAATCCAGGGCTCGTGCCTGCGTCCTAAGACGGAAAAAAACTTAAAAAAATTAAAAAAAAATTTAAAAAAACGTTTAATCCGAAATATTCGGTAATCCGAAATGGGCCCGGTCCCAACCATTTCGGACTATCGGGACTCTACTGTATTTGTTGTTTGTACAAAATAGATGAGGTGTCACTCTATAATAATCCTTACAGTCCTGTCAAGTATCAGATTAACAGGAAACACTGAATTTGTAAATTCTCATAGTCTTGTAAATGCAATATTTTACCACTAATTACATTCATTCTTAACCCTTCCTGGACACCAGCAGTGGGGGAGCCAGAGGGGGGTGAAGGGGGCCACCCCCCCTCAGGCATACAAATACATATATTTAAAAAAAATTCTACTATGGATAAAAAGGGGTTGAGTTATTTATTGCACAACATTTTATTTGAAAAGAGAACATTGTGTAATAAATTTAACCTAAGCTTATGTCGTAGCAAGATGTTTAAATAAAACATCTGTGTTTAGCAAGTGAATTACGGCAATCTACAGAGCACAGGATAATAGCACCAAGTTTTGGTGACCACCATTCAATAGTCTACCTACAGAATTGGCAGAACAATCTGTTATCCGTCTGGGAATATTAAAAAATGGCAAATATCTCTGTCGCCCTTATTTGAACACCAAAAATAAAGCGGGCATATCCAGGAAAGGCAAATAAACAGTTTAATTTCTTAATTTAATAAAAAAATATTCTCACCTGATTTTGAAGAATCAACAGATGACAAAACATCTTGTTCGCCTTTACTGATAAAACTATTGTCACTGTAAACAAAATTAATGGGATGAATACTAAAAAGAGAAAAAAAGTTATTGAAAAAAAAAACAATATTGTTCACAAATGGATGTTTAAACAAAACATTTTCAAACTTTACAAATTATGAGTAGAGTGAAACCCCAATAAATTGAACAAAACAAAAGCCTTTTAGGGCAACTTATTTCTTTGAGTAATCAATGGTGTGAAGTCAAAAGCTATTTTGGTTCAAACAGATCGTCTTTTTATTGCTGCCATCTTTAAATTGAAAATTGTGCATTTTTTCAACAATTGACAGTTGTATTCTAAGCTTAATCTCTATCACAGTTTGAAAGATGCCTGTCATAGCCTGTTCCTTACATTCTGTTGGCAAAGCCACAGCGGATTAGTTAAAATTTCCCAATTGATTTAAATTTTTTTTATAATTTTGATTCAGCGGGGTTTGGATGAAAGGGGTTTAACTGTACTTCAACAAATACAACAATACAAATCATGAAAGAATGGAAACAGAAATACAAAAAATTTTAAAATCAAAAAGCAAATTTAAAACTTCAAAATGTTTATTTCATCAATCTTTCAGTTATAAATGATAAAATTAATGAGCAACTAATGCACCATTAGATGGCTTAGCACCACTTGCATGAACATGTAGAGCTACATGATCAGTTAAATAATTTTTTCCAACCGCCAAGAGACAACATGTTTTACATTGCCCCCAAAAACACTAGGGATGGAATAAACTGATTGAAAACAACCGATTCAATCGGTCGTTAGTCGGTTGCTCTCCCGGAAACGATTGAAACTAGTCACTTCATACTCCCGGTCCTACGACGACTGGAACCAGTCAACCAATCGTTGGAATACTGTAACTGGAAACAGTCAAACGTCGGTGATTCACTCGGTTTTTCATTCGACTGAAAAAACCGACTGGTTTTAAAAACAACCAATTGACTAGTCGATTGTTTTTTGCAGTCGGTTGTCCCATCACTAATAATCACCCGGCCATGCCGCTGTCATTTCTGTTTTAGTATTTAATTAAGAACCAACCTATGTGGTTTGTTAGTTTGTTACTTGATGAACTTCCTGAATTTTGAAACCCCATTGACGCAACTAAAATAACAATTTTATTTGACATAAACAATCTTGATTTGTACCCAATTGATTTGAAAATGGGTCGTTAACCTGAAACTAGTAATCCCCAAACACTGTTTACGACTGAAGACGGACAAAGGTACCTATCATGTATACCTACAATCAGTCTTGGTGGCAAGAAGTTTTTAATTGTTCTCTATGTAAGAGTGCTCTTGTTGTTTCTTACAAAAAAGTTTCACCTGCATACCTGCGTTTAGCGTTTCTTTTATGATCAAATTTGAAAGAAAATTTACCGTAGTATATCACATAGTCATAGATTTAGTCTTAAACCGCATTTATGATCACATAGATTACGTTTTCCGTTTCATTAGGCACTTAAAAAAATTTTCTATAAAAATGAAAACTTGGTTAAATAAAAAGATCTCAAAGTTCCAGAAATTTACGGTCTATACTCGTTGCTTACTCACTTCTTCCACTTTGGGAGCTAAGAAAAAAAATGATAATTACGACTTTCAGCCCATAAAACTGTTTAAATTTTATTGTAATCATGAGAGCCTGAAATTTTCTAAAAAATAAAATAAACCATTGAGAAATACCAGTGAATAAAAAGTAAAATAAAACTCACCTTTTAGGTTTCAGACTTTCACTAGCCTTTGATGATGGGGAAGTAGGAGGACTTTTTGGATTGCCTCCCCCACCACCACTCTGAAACAAAAAACAAACATTCAGACTACATTACCATGAAGACTACATAAGGGTGCGCTCTATGTGTTCGCCGCACGCTAATGCAAGGGTTTAGAATCTCCGTAATTGTCGGCTTTGCTCTTAACCGATTGAAAATAAATTTATGTTAATTTATTCATTTCTTATTTTTATAGGCTTGTATCGTTTTAATTTTTTGGTAATAGAACAATTTTAAGTGGGAAGTGACTGGTAAATACTTCCAAATAAGCTTTTTTCTAAAGCGTGTTACACATACAAATGAATTTTAGAAGAAAATTCAAATTGATAAGTTGATTTATTGGTCGAGTCATAAATTTGAATATAAGTAGTAAGGAACCTTACTCAGATGGAAATTTTTTTAAAGTTAACTGAGTAATTTGAGAGGACTTAACGTCTGCAAAGCGCTTCTTGCGGCACTGTTTAATGGCGCAATATAGCTGAAGCACGAGCTGAGATTCCCGAGCTGAGGTAGAGCGCACCCTTTATACCATTGATTTTAACAGAAGCATGTCTACTATTCAATCTTTTCTTTGGCCAAAATTTTGAGTTATCCAACCCTATCAATTTGGTACCAAGAAATCGTGAGCTATTTTGTTACGTTTGGTGGGAAACATAAGCGGTTTACGTGTGGATAACCTCTGTTGCCGTTCTTGCCTGGATTCAGAAGACATGCACGGCTATGCACCTACATTTGACTGTACTTAGTTGCTTAAGCGCAATATCGCAGCCGCACTACCAAACAGTTTGACAACCCCTCATATCTGCGTAGACCTCTCTGCTACCCCTCTCACCTTTGCATGCTCATGCTTGCGGTGCAGTTATTTCTGATAGCAACTTAAAAATAAAAAATAACCCCTGCTGCAGCAAACCTGTGGATTAACTAAATTGCTGTTTACCTGAACTACTGATTTTCAATAAAAAACGTTCTTAAAAATTTCAAATAGCCTATATTTTCTTTAAAACCTTAGGTCGTATGAGTAATTATGTTTGCTTCTACAGGGAAGGTAATAAACTGTGTTTTTAGTAAAATAAATGGATTAGTATGACATAAACAAATTTATAAAATCAATCAAAATATATCCATAAAGAAACAATTTACAACAGTTAACTTATTCTCTATAAGAATAACATGTGAATTTTTTCTTACAAGTTTTTTATAGCTTTTCTCCGTAACCATTCAGAGTATAATATTGCGTTGGTATACTAAATTGTTTTTTGCTCTACAAAATGGCTCAGGGTGTAATTGCAAATTTTTGTTTGGGGGTAAAAAATGAGAAAAGAAAACGGAAAATCCCATTTCACCCCATTCCCCATTCTCATAGTCGGATCATGCTGGTTCACGAACTCGTTCAAATAAACATAGGTTGACACATATGTACAACATTTAATAAAGATGGATCATTTTTATTAGCCTATATGTTTTGATAAAAATTTGGCAAATTTATTTTATTTGAACCAAGCTGTTAAAGTTTTACTAAAAAAAAACTTAAATCCTCTGTAGCAACAAACCTACTTAGGTACAGTACTCGTTAGATTTAATGTTATTTAAATCTTAATTTTTAAGGACGCAGGCTATATTTTTATCAGGCGAATGGAAATTTGCTTAGTCTGCAGGTTTGCTGCTGAGGGGGTATTAATTTTGTATACAGATATGCTCATAATTTTATTTTTATTGAGGTTTAATCCAAATTGATTTGGTTTGTTTGGTAAGTTCATAGTTCTGAGGGAATCATTTGACTCTAACATCTGACAATACAATGAAAACAGCTGACTCACTCTAAATATAGAATACAAGTTGGGAAACTTGTTTTATGACTCAGCACAGCCAAAAAAGACAACATTTAAACAAAACACCCGATATCTTAGTTGTTTTTGCGTTTTCCTACAATGTTTATCACAGTTACCTTACTCTTTAACATTAGTTAACAGTCAGTCGGTAATCGGTATGGATAATTTTTATTTTATCCACTCAAGTTGAAATATTTAATTAAATAGAAAATGTTACTAATTTAATTTTACCAAGGCTACCGATTGATAGCCCAAATGCAATAAAAATTTTAACAGGAATAACAGCAAACTATCTTATCTAGTACTGTAGGCCTACATTTAGGAATAATTTTTGCGAGTTACAACTAACCAGTTAAACTAATTAATATAATTTTATTAAGTTATTCTAATAGCCTACTGTTAAATCAAAAGAAATTGTTTTATATGAATCCCTAATACATCTCGTGATTTAACATTACAAGTGTAAAATAGTTTCAAGAGTGTTTAGATATATTTTTATAACACCCAATGCTGATCAAGAATTTATCAACCCCTAAAACGTCAACAAGTTCAGGCACCACTAAAACACCGTTGACAGCTAGGCTAGTAGACTTAAATGCAGTAGTCTACAGCTAAATACAGGTCTGGAAACTTTGTTTACTAACTTTACCAATTCTACGAGACATATTGGGGCAAGTTTTGTACGGCCTACCGTGCGATGGAGCAGCTTGTTGAAGAAGTCCATGCGTGTGTGATGTGCAAGGTCGGGACGCTCTACTAACCAGAGTGGCGTGAGCGTAAACGGCGCCGCTGCCAAACCCGCAAATATAACCTCTCGACACAACGCAATAATCGCCAAATACGACAACTACACGCTCGGCACGGCCAACAACCGACACTGACTACTATTAGTGCTATTTGTGAATAACCGCGCGTTATAAGGTCAGTCTGCAGAAAATATCTGCTGACTGCGATTCAATCATTTCATTGCCCGGGCGGTACTGTATTGCGCGGTTGCGACGAAAATACTAATCTTTGTGTAGTTATTATCGCTGTGATTATTTTGCGTTATTATTTTGTATTAGATTACAAAACAGTGTTTTTATTCCTTTTTTCGTACGTGTACCATTCGTTCTTTCCGTGCAACAGTGATTTTGTTTGGTATTTATTTTTTATTCGAGTGCAAAACTGTATTACACTCGTTTCTAGTGTGGACGTGTGGTCAACTTGACCTTGTTTGTGCTTGTTAGGTGGGTCAGAAATGTGTAGTAAATATTTTTTTTACTATATTGCATTTGTAAGTATTATTTATAACTATTATTTGTTGCAGCAGAAAATCAAATGTGTACTCGTACTCGTACGTGTAGGTATATTTTAATTTAGATAATTATTTACAAACTGAAGACTAAGTTTTCGTTCAAAATAAATTAATTTAGCTTCTCGCTGTGTGCTGTCAACAATTCTATTCTACTAATTAATAATCAAAGGCCCTAATCAGTTTGAATTGAAGATTACAAAAAGATCAAGCGGTAAGCGTCACAGTACTGTTACTGTGATAAATTTAATGCATGCATTTCCTGAGTAATTTATACACGCGGGGTAATGACACAGAGCATAGAATAATTATTTATTTAGATTTATTGTATGCTGTGTGGGTAATAAATGCGGGATAATTTGGTGCATTTGGGATAATAATGTGGGATCAATATGCCTTTAGGTTCATGGACTTATTCGGCTAATAACATTAGGCTAATTCAGCTAACTCGAAGGATTAAAAATGTGGGTTAATTTTGACGATTAGAAACCACGGGTGATAACGGGATCGCGTTGAATAGTTTCCAAAAACTGATTACATGTTGTGATTTTAATTTGTAAAAGTTCTATTTTCTTATATAGTTAGTTATGTAGTTTTTTTACGAAAGGCGATTTGTGATTTAGTTTGTGTGCGTAGAACATGCATTGCGCAAATAACGGACTGAAGAGATAAAGCAATGTTTACAATGATGAGTTTGATATCTTTATCTGGTCGGGTTGAAATACTCCTGAGTGGTTTTAATTGGCATAATTACGGCCGTCAAACTATCTGACCGAGCGTGAGGCAATGAGGCAACAATCTGAACTCATACAGTGTACACAGTTTTCCACAAATGTCACTTATTTCTCGTGACAAATGACCAACGTTATGCAATTTTCCATAGACTTTGGAATCTACGACTTCCCATCATAAGTAATAACTGATGCCGAAAACGGTAAAATACCTGCACAGTACAACCTTACTTTATTATTCAAAAACTCGTCGTTAATTCAGTGGAATGGTGCCAAGAAATATTATTATATGCAAAAGAAAGTTTACAGTACTTTATACCGATTTCTCTTATTTATACTGCACATTTCTTATCGTCTAGTGATAATTAGGCGGTACGCAATGCCGGCCCTGGCACCTCTCCTAAACCTAACCTCACTTCAATAGTGGCGAAAAATCAAGTTCTTTTTTTTCCTGAACTGTCTACAGCAATAAAAGAATCTAGGTTTCACAGTTGTCGGCCGAGTAGGCCTTATCTATAGTAAAAACATCTAATGTGTGGGCTCGTTTCGTTGCGGGACAAATCAACCTAGTTTCAGACTACGTAGGCCGACAAGCTTCCACCGTGCAAGGAACCGCCGACTATAAACGTAGGTAAATCAAGATATCAAGATGGCGAATTAGGGAGGGTGTGGGAAGCCTTACAAGCGATTGAGGTTAGCTCCCTGCTACAAAAAGTATTATTTATCATACGGCTAGGTTGTGTGTGCATTTATAGGTCGAAAGTAACACACATCATTGATAGGTAGTGGAAATGTTAAACAACATACCCCGGCTGTAAATATTATAATAAACCGTATCAGCAATCTGACACATACCGTACTTTCTCCCATAAGCTTGTCAACAACCTTTATTATGGGTGGTGGGAGTAACTATGATATTTTATAGGGAAATCACAAAAGTTGCGATAACCTTTGAACCGTACTTGATACAGCAATATTTTGCACTATTTTGTTTAGAACTATAGGCTAATGACTATAACAAATTCATTTTAACCAAAACGGGCTTTTTCCTATAATCAGATTTGTTGTTATTTTGTGGTTTTTATGGGGAAATAACATAGTTACAACAACTTTGGAACCGTAATTTTTACAAAAATGGGATTTGTACCTTTTTGTTAAAAATTCAAAGG